ATAATTCCACGAAAATACTCCACGTACTTGCCAGTGTAACCAACCCACCAAATGGATCACGTTTTAAAACGAAAACCGAGTAAATTTACTCCACATTGCCGCTTTAAACGACCTTCTATTGACGTCGTTCCTTTTTGAACAAATCAAATGAGAATTATACCAAGTTACCTCTTAAATCGACTCTCCCCTAGAAACGTCCAATTATGCCACCTCGAGCACTTGCCTAACCCCACAGGATTGTTCGAAACAAATGACCACCCCGTTCGAAAGTCTTAATTATGGTGGATTTTTTTTTGTACACTTTCTCAACCCAATAGGATTGTTCAAAACAAGCGACAACCCAGCTCGAAAGCCTTAATCATGGTGGATTTTTTTCTTCAGCCACTTGCCCAACCCAATAGGGTTGTTCAAAACAAGCGACTGCCTATCTCGGAAGCCTTAATCGAGGTGGATTTTTTACTTCAGACACTTGTCCAACCCAATAGGATTGTTCAAAACAAGCGACCACCCAATTCGAAAGACTTAATCATGGTGGATCTTTTTCTTTTCAGACACTTGCCCAACCCAATAGGATTTTCCAAAAAAAACGACCATCCAACTCGAACGCCTTAATCATGGTGGATTTATTTATTCGGACACTTGCCCAACCCAATATGATTGTTTGAAACAAGCGACCACCCAGTTCAAAAGCCTTAATCATGGTGGAATTTTTATTCGGACACTTGCCCAACCCAATGAGATTTTTCGAAACAAGCGACCACTCAGCTCAAAAGCCTTAATCATAGTGATTTTTTTTTTCTTCGGACACTTGCCCAACCTAATAGGATTGTTCGAAACAAATGACCACACAACTCGAAAGCCTTATTCATGGTGGATTTTTTTCTTAACACACTTGCCCAACCCAATAGGACTGATCGAAACAGACGATCACCCAGCTCGAACTTTAATCATGGTGGATTTTCTTCGAACACTAGCCCAACCCAATAGGATTGTTCGAAACAACCGACCACCGATCTCGAATACATTAATCATGGTGGATTTTTTTCTTCGGACACTTGACCAACCCAATAAGATTATTCAAAACAAGCAACCACCCAGCTTGAAAGTCTTAATCATGGTAGATTTTTTTTTCTTCGGACACTTGTCCAATCCAATAGGATTGTTCAAAACAAACGACCACCTAGCTCGAAAGCCTTAATCATGATGGATTTTTTTTCCTTCGGACACTTGCCCAACCCAATAGGATTGTTCGAAACAACCGACCACCCAGCTCGAAGGCCTTAATCATGGTGGATTTTTTTTTTCTTCAGACACTTGCCCAACTCAATAGGATTGTTCGAAACAAGCGACCACCCAGCTCGAAAGCTTTAATCCTGGTAAATTGTTTGAAATACCAAAGTGACCTGTCTGAAGTCACACCAAAACACACCAAGAAAAATGATACAATAATGCAATAATATAGAGAAACAACATATATCTCCATTAATCAACAGCGGTAAGACAAATTAGATCGTACGATTCATAAAAGAAAAAAATTCAAACCTAATATTTTTTTAAATTCGCAACGTTCCATGACTTGGGCAACGAACATCCTTCTACATCCTTCAATGAATAGGCTTCTCCCATATGAACCTTTTCGACCAAGTAAGGATCCTCCCAATTTGGCTCCAGCTCGACATGTTTGAGGACATCCACTCTCTTCCAAACCAGGTCAACCACTTGGAACCTTCGGATCTTAACCTTCTTCTCATGTGCTGCTCACATTCTTTGCTTGTAGACCTCGACACTGGTCGAACCCTTCTCCCTCAGCTCATCAATTGTGTCTAGGGCTACACAAGTTAATTCTTCATTCTACAATGGGTTGTATATATTCGACCTCTGGGACATCAACTCTACTTCGACCGACAGTAATCTATACTGAAAGGGGTTTCTCCTGTTGCCGACGTCAGAGTGGTCCTATATGCCTAAAGTACAAATGTAAGCTCGTTGACCCATGCCCCCGAGGCCCTTTCGAGCCTTGTCTTCAAATCATTCAACATAATCTTGTTCGTGACTTCGACCTGTCCATTGTCCTGCGGAGGAGCTACATGAGCAAAATGTTGCTCGATCTTCATATCATCGCACCAAGCTCAAATCCGCTTGTCATTAAATTAAATTCCATTGTCTGACACCAACTTCTTCGGCATACCGAACCAGCAAAAAATATTGTTTTATAAGAGATGTATGACTTTGTCTTTTGTGATCTTGGACAAAGGTTAGGCCTCCACTCACATCGTGAAATAATCGACCGCGACAATCATAATTTTTCCTTTGACCAGTTCCCTGCGGCATTGGCCCCACCAAGTCGATGCCCACTGCGCAAAGGGAATGGGGGCGCTCATCGTGGTCATTGTCTCCACCGAATGATGAATGAACGGACCATGCTTCTAGCATTGTAAGCACCTTTTCACCATTGAGATTGCATCCGCCTTCATTGTTGGACAGAAGTAACTAACTTGAAGATTTTTTGCGACCATAGCTCCAGCGTTACCATGGTCGCTGCAAAAGCATTCGTGCACTTTCTTCAACACATATTTCCCTTTCTCCTTGGCCACACATCTCAAGTGTGGCTCTACGTACGACCTCTTGTAGAGGACCCCTCCTTGATAAAAAAAAAAAATTTAATAACCTTCAGACTGCCTTCCTTCAACTCCTTTAAGATGGAAGCCTTCCAATATTCGACCTCTTCAATTTCTACGACCTCGCCTTCCACTGTGTTCTTCTCTATATGCAATAATTTACGCTCTTGCTCTTACAATCGGCCAAGTTTTAAGCTATTTTCGAGAACACATCTACTCGTCCATCTCCCCCATTGGTATCTGAATTAGCTCGAACAAACTGAATTCTCTCAGTAGCTTCTTCAACTCATCCACGTACTTTTGCATTCTTTCTTCCTTCACTTCAAAGCCTTCCTAGAATTGTCCTACAACCAATTGAGAATCTGAGTGTACTTGGATTTCTTAAAATCAACCTGCCACAACCAACTACAAACCCTTGATCACCGCCACATACCCTTCCTCATTGTTAGACACTCGAAATCCCAACTTGATTGCAAACTCAAGACTGTCTCCCCTCAGTGAGATCAACACAATCCCCAAACCAGCTCATTCTTTCGACACCGAGCCGTCCACATACAATTGCCATCTCCCCTCTAACCCGACCTCTATTTTGTCCTTTCCTGGATGAAATCTCCTAGAACCTGCGCCTTAATCGCCCTCCGTGACTCATAAACAATGCAATACTCACTCAACTCGACCACCACTTCAGTAGTCGACCCGACACCGAAGATCGACCGAGTGTTCCTTCTAATTCAGTTTGAAATATGAATACTACGATGTATATACATGTTATTAAAGGGTTAACTGCTTGGTTTATCCTCACTGAGCTAGTGGTTTGCTCCCCTTTTCAGTTTCAAGTTGATCGAGTTGGTATCGGGACACAGGACGGTTGAGTGGTCATGAGTCGAACATCTTTATGTTCTTTTATGATTTTTGAGACATATTCCTATGATTTGGTTTTAGACTTGAGTACCTTGCATGATTTATTAAACTTGAGACAATGAGATGTTTTATCCATTTTTTACTTTTATTATGAATTAAAAGATGAGTATGAGTTTTGAGAAGGTTTCACTATAGTGCTTTAGGCAACAAGTGTTTCTGAAAAATTAATTTGAAAAACTTAGAATTTCAAAGTATAAAGACTTTCAAACTCCATTAACATCCTTTAAAATATCCAAAATACCCTTTAAAAATTATGGCATTACATTTGAATCCTACGGCTACCAATTTTTTTTTCCTAATTTCTCATGAAATAAAGAGAATTAACGCAATTTTATAACACGAGGGGGAAAAGCACACTTTTAGTATAATATAAGGGGATTTTACCCAACAAAACACTATTATAAATTATTTTTATATGGATGGGTAAATTTATCACATCATGTTTTGGTAGGTGACTTGATGTTGATACCCTAAACACAATTATGATAAAGGCATTGAAATCATCATGAGGGTTAACTGCAAAAAGATGGTCTCGGTGTTTGATCAAAATACAAATAGAGAGAGCATTTCAAAATCCCTTTCACATTTTAAAAGAAATATTACATGTTAAAGACTTCACAAACATGACCACTACGAATTTCAAGATAAGAAAGCATTGGCATTAAGCCTACAAAACATGCCAACAACCACCAAAATAATAATAATGAGAGAGAGAGAG